CTGTTGACACCCTGCTGCCCTGCGCCCCGCGTGCGCTCTGCTGCCCGCGCCCCGCACACTCTGCAGCCCGTGCACTGCCCTGCCCGCGCTGCCCTGCAGCCCGCGCGCCTGCGCTGCTCGCGCCCCGCGCGCCTCTGCTGCCATGTGCCCCGCGTGCGCCCTGTAGCCCGCACGCCCTGCAGCCCGCGCGCCTTGCAGCCTGTGTCGCCCTGCTGCCCGCGTCGCCCTGCTACCCGCGTCGACCTGCAGCCCGCGTCGACCTGCAGCCCGCGTCGCCCTGCTGCCCACGCGCCCTGCAGCCCGCGTCGCCTGCTGCCCTCGCGCGCTCTGCTGCCAAAGCGCCTTGCCCGCGCTGCCCTGCAGCTCGCACGCTGCCCTGCAGCCCGCGCGCCTGCGCTGCCCGCGCCCTGCACGCCTCTGCTTCCCTGCGACCCGCGTGCGCCCTGCAGCCCGCACGCCCTGCAGCCCGCACACCATGCATCCCGCGCCCCCTGCAGCCCGCACGCCCTGCAGCCCGCGCGCCCTGCAGCATGCGTCGCTCTGCTGCCAGCGCACCCTGCAGCACACGTCGCCTGCTGCCCGCGCGCGCTCAGCTGCCAACCCGCGCTGCCCTGCAGCCCGCGCGCCTGCGCTGCCCGCGTCCCGCCCGCCCTGCTGCGCCCCACACGCCCTGCAGCCCTTGCGCCCAGCACGCCATGCTGCCCGCGCGCTGCCTTAGCTGCCAGCGCGCTGCCCTAGTTGCCGGTGCACTGCCCTAGCCTCTACACTGCCCGTCATGGCAACAGTGCCGGTCTTAGCGGTTGACGCCGACGGACGCCCGTACAGGTTAGAGTTCTGGCTTATGTGCCTGCGTTTGCATCTCCGGCGTTTCATTAGAGATGGCGTCTCCCTACTCGAGCACACGTCGGGGTCACTTCCGCCCCCCACGAATCCCACTGAACCTGCTGCTGACGCTGGCGAGGACGTGCAGAGGCGGTACCAGGCGGACAGCCTTGCGTACAGACAGTGGACGGAGCGCGACGCTGTCGCACAGCGTGCTGTTTGAGCTCTCCCGCCGGTCGACCAGAGGGACCACTTTCGACAGGTGACGTCGGCCCAGACTTTGTTCGACGCTGTTGTTAGACACTACTCCTCCCTCTCTCCTGCCACCCGACCACTACAGCAGCGGCGTCCGTTGGTAGGGGAGGTGCAGCCGCTGGTCGAGGAGGAGAGTGTAGGTACTTGTATGTCTGCTCCAGCAGGTGGTGCCACTAGTGGAGGCGGTGGTTCTAGAGGTGGTCAGCAACGGCACCAGCGTCAGCAGGAGAACCCCTCGCTGCAGCAGCTTCAGGAGTGGGTTTCTCAGCGACGCGTCCCTGGTAGTGTAGAGGCTACTAGTCTAGGTGTCTGTGAGCCTACAACAGGTGCCGCTCCTGTGGAGGTTTTGCACACCTTCACGCTTGACTCAGGCGAGACTGACTGCTTCTTCCGCGACTGCACCACAATCACACCGCTCACTACACCTGTCCCGGTCAGTCTGGCTGACCCCTCTGGGGGCCCAGTCGTAGCACGTGCCTCCACCGTTCTCCCGTGTCCGGCAGCCCCTTCCGGCTCGCTTGCAGGTCTCCACCTCCCCTCGTTCACTGTGACTACTTCTGGGGGTAAGCTTGTGGCGATCTGTACGGACTCACGGACTGGCGCACACCTCGTCACGTTCACTCGGAGACCCGGGTCTGGCCTGTACACACTGACCACTGAGTCTGCACATGTAGCTGCGTCGGGTCAGTTAGTTGCGTCTTGTTCGTGTGGCCTTCTGACGCACCCGTCTCTCCTCTTGCACCACCGTCTTTGTCACCCTTCCCTGCCGCGCCTCCATGGCATGCACTCTCGTCTCCTTGCCTCCGGCCTCCCTAGGTCCCTTCCCCCCCTCCCGCGCTCGCTTGCACCGCCGTGCCTTCCCTGCGTTGAGGGGCGGCAGCGCGCCACTCCTCACTCCTCGTTTCCTCCGACCACCTGTGAGAGTACGACGGCTTATGCCAGCTATGCTTGCTTGCCTTTACTTTATTACGCTATTACTAGCTTAGGTTTATTTTATCTTGCATGTTTATGCTTGATTTCCTAGGTTAGGCGCATTCCTATATGTTATTATAGTTATAGCACCGAACCAGGTTACGTGTACCGAACTCAAGCCTTTCGGTTGCCACCGAATTGCTTTCTACCGAGTTCGGGAAGGTTCTGTTCGAGACGCTTCGCGACCCCCAGAACATTCGCGTAACACCTGGGTTACCTGCCTTGTGTCGAGACTATATATAGCCTCGTGTTGTACCCAGGTGAATCAATCAATATTCATTCTTCAATTCTGAGCTCTATCCTCGATCCTCACACTTGGTAATCAGAGCCATTTACACACGAAGTTTTTTCGACAACTAAAACCCAGTCTTCAAAAACCGCGGGGGCGACGAACGTTAAACACCGATTTCGGGTACGTAAAACCGGTTCCGTGTTTTTCACTCCCCTTCGTTTTCGTTTTTCGGACGCGCGATGTCAGGAATGGAGGGTACAGGCGACAATTTCGTCACCGAAGTCGCAACCCTTCGCACGGAGCTGGACCAGATGCGGGCGGCACTCCAGCGAATTGAAGCGCTCCTCGCGAACCAGTCGGCAGCCGCCACAGCTGCAGCGAATGCAGCAGCGACAGCAGCAGCGGCAGCGGCGACACCAACATTTCACGCAGCAGTGGCACCACCTTCTGTCAAACTTATATGACATAGTCTGTGTAGGCTGTAGTGGGGTAGTCAATATGGGGTACAACACTTGTACTTCTCATTCTGCTCAATGCAATCATTCCTCGTTCTATTCTTCACATGGTTTCAGAGCAGGTTCCCTAGTGGGAACGATTTTTTTTTTTAAGGGCCCACCACGATTTTTTTTCCTGCCCTGCCCGTAGCGCGCTGCCGCTCCTGCCTGCCCTGTCGCGCGCCTCGCGCCTGCCTCACCTGCGCCCTTGCGCCTGCCCTGCTGTGCGCCGTCGAGCGCCTGCCCTACCCGTGCCATCGAGCGCCTGCCCTTGCTGCAGCCGCCGTCGCGAGCCTGCCCTACCCGCCGTCGAGCGCCTGCCCTACCTGCCGCCCGTCGAGCGCCTGCCCTGCCGTCGCGGCCCTGCCGTCGAGCGCCTGCAGCCGCCGTCGCGGCCCTGCCCTACCCGCCTGTCGCGCCGTCGCGGCCCTGCCCTACGCGCCCGTCGTGCGCCTACCCTGCCGCCGCCCGTCGAGCGCCGGCCCTACTCGCCCGTCGAGCACCTGCAGCCGCCCGTCAAGCGTCTGCCCTGCCGTCGCCCGTCGAGCGCCTGCCCTACCCGCGCCTGTCGCGTGCCTGCCCTACCCGCCGCCGGTGGCGCCTGACCTACCCGCCCCTGGTGAGCACCTGCCCTGCCCGCGCTACCCGCGCGCCTGCCTGCCTGCCTAGCCGCACCGCCCAGCCGAGTCGCGCCACCCAGCCGAGCCGCGCCGCCCAGCCGAGCCGCGCCGCCCAACCGAGCCGCGCTGCCCTACTGAGCCGCGCTGCCTTGCCCGCGCTGCTCCTGCTACTGCTGCTGCTTCTTCTGCTACTGCTGCTACTGCTGCTTCTGCTGCTACTGCTGCTACTGCTGCCACTGCTGCTACTGCCGCCATGGCCAGCCCTACTGTTCTTACCTTCGATGCTGAGGGTCGTGCAGTTGACTTCGATGTTTGGGTAGACGATCTGCAGCTCTTTCTTCAGTGCGACTCTAAGGATGGAGTCTCACTTTTCGATCACACGTCCGGCGCCTCTGCTGCTCCTGCTGCCACTGCTGACAGTACGGTTCGCTCGCAGTGGACTACTCATGACGCTATTGCTCGCCTTGCTGTTCGTAGTCACCTGCCGTCTGCTGAGCGCGCACACTTTGGCCAGTACAAGACTGCTAAGTCTTTGTATGACGCTGTCGTAGCGCGCTACTCCTCCCCTGCCACTGCTGCCCTCAGCCGCCTCATGCTGCCGTACCTGTTCCCTGACCTGGCCGCCTTTGCCACAGTCGCTGACCTCATTACTCACCTCCGCACTAGTGACGCCCGCTACAGCGCTGCGCTTCCCTCCGAGTTCTGCGCCAAGAACCCCCCCCCATGTACATCACCCTCTTCTACCTAGTCACCCGTCTCCCTGACTCCCTTTGCTCAGTCAGGGACCACTTTCTCTCCCTTTGCCCCACCGAGCTCACCGTCGACCTGCTAGAGGAGCCCCTCACTGCAGCTGAGAAGAGTATAGTTGCTGTAGGTGCTTCTTGCGGCGACCCTCGCGCCCCTTTCTTTGAGGGGTGTTCCCCCGTACCCCTTTTGCCCTCTGTTGCCTCTGCTGCTGCTGTGGACCTCGTTGGCACCGATGAGGTCGGGGCTGCGTCTGCTACTAGTGGGAGGCGCCGCAACAGCAAGGGCAAGGGGGGCAAGGGTGGTGGAGGGGACGGCGGGGGCGGCAGTGGTGGCGGTGGAGGAGGAGGAGGGGGTGGGGGTGGAGGCAAGGGTGGTGGCGGGAGTGGGGGCGTCGGTGGCGGCGGCGGTGGTGGTGGAGGCAGCGGCAGCGGTGGTGGAGGCGGTAGCAGCGGCGGTGGAGGTGGCGGCGGCGGCGGTGGTGCTGGTCGGGGTGGAGCCGCGCAGCGTGGAGGCTTTGGCGGTGGCCAGCGCCAGCAGCAGCCGCTTTCTCGTGAGACCCCGTCGCCCCAGCAGCTTCGTGAGTGGTACGCTGGGCGTGGTAGGTCTGGGGGTGCTGGTCCCTGCACTTACGTTCTCCGCACCGGCGGGCGCCGTGGGGAGACGTGCGGCCTGCCACACTCGCCACAGTGTTGTTTCGGTCGCCTATCTGGCGCCTGGCGCGCAAAGTTTCCTGCCGCCCCTGAGCTCCCTAGCTGGGCTGATCTGCTTAGGCAGAATGTTGTTATCTTTGCACTAGACTTTGATGCTATCCTTGCTGCCATGTATGCTGTGACTATTAGTGTTGAGGGTGACTGTTACATGTGTGTGCCGCCTGACCCACGTATAGAGTCTGCTGCTCTAGGTGCTGGTGAAGCTGCTGCTCTAGGTGCTAGTGAGTCTGCTGCTCCAGGTGCTGGTGAGTCTGCTCTCTCTGGTACTACGCCTGCTGAGGCCTTGCACACCTTCACACTTGACTCCGCTCAGTCGGCCGGTTGCAGTCTCCCTGGCGGACCCCTCTGGGGGCCCAGTCCTTGCGCACTCCTCCACAGTCCTGCCGTGTCCGGCGGTCCCGTCTGGCTCTCTGTCGGGTCTTCACCTCCCCTCGTTCTCTACGAACTTGGTGAGTGGAGCTGACCTCCAGGATGTGTGGGTTGACCAGTTCACTCCTGGAGGTCAGCGTGTGACCCACTGTATGTGCTCTCGGACTGGTCGGCACCTGGCCACGTTCACCCGAGCGCCTGGCTCGAGTCTGTACACACTGACTACTGTGTCGCCTCAGGTAGCTGCGTCTGCGTCTGCGTCAGGTCAGCTAGCGGCCCCCTGCTCGTGTCGCGCTTTGTCGCACCAGACCGTCCTTTGGCACCACCGTCTTGGTCACCCCTCGGTGCAGCGCCTCCGTGGCATGCACCGACGTCTCCTTGTCTCTGGACTCCCAGAGACTCTGCCTCCTCTCCCACCCTTGCCTGCCCCTCCCTGCCTTCCCTGTGTCGAGGGACGGCAGCGCGCCGCTCCTCACTCCTCCTCGTTCCCCCCGACGACTGCTCCCCTGCAGACCCTACACATGGACGTGTGGGGCCCAGCCCGCGTCCGTGGACAGGACCGCGAGCGGTACTTTTTGCTGGTCGTTGACGACTACACGCGTTACACCACGGTCTTCCCCTTGCGCACCAAGGGTGAGGTCCCTGATGTTTTGATCCCTTGGATCCGCGCTGCCCGTCTCCAGCTCCGCGAGCGGTTCGAGACGGACTGTCCAGTCCTGCGTCTGCACTCTGACAGAGGTGGTGAGTTTGCCTCTGACTTTCTGCGGGACTTCTGTCGTGGGGAGGGCATTCGCCAGACATTCACGCTCCCGGCCTCACCGCAGCAGAATGGGGTTGCTGAGCGCCGCATTGGCTTAGTCATGGAGGTCGCTCGTACCTCCATGGTCCATGCGGCTGCCCCCCATTTTCTGTGGCCGTTTGCGGTCCGATACGCTGCGCATCAGCTCAACCTCTGGCCCCGTGTCTCCTTCCCGGAGACCTCGCCCACCCTGCGGTGGACGGGGAAAGTTGGCGATGCGTCGGTGTTCCGGGTTTGGGGTTCTCGTGCCTTTGTCCGCGATACTACCGCGGACAAGTTCTCCGCCCGCGCTATTCCCTGCGTCTTCCTTGGCTTTGTCCCTGACGCGCCTGGCTGGCAGTTTTACCACCCCACCTCGCGCCGTGTCCTGCCCTCTCAGGACGTCATGTTTGACGAGTCGGTTCCCTTTTACCGTCTCTTCCCCTACCGCACTGCCTCTCTCCCCCCCCCCCCGCTCTTCCTTACACCAGGTCCTCCTCCGGTAGACCCCCTCCCCCCTCAGGGTCCTGCTCCCTCAGGTGTGTCTCAGGTAGACGCTGTCGAGCCTGTCGAGGTAGCGGTTGACTCTGGTGCTGCTCCTGGGGGTGGTGCTGCTGGAGGTGCTGAGCCTGAGCGTGCGGAGCCTGGGGGTGCTGAGCGTGAGCGTGTGGAGCCTGGGGGTGCTGAGCCTGAGCGTGTGGGGTCTGGGGGTGCTGAGCCTGGGGTTGCTGAGTCTGGGGGTGCTGAGCCTGGGGTTGCTGAGTCTGGGGGTACTGCGCCTTAGGTTGCTGAGACTGGGGGTGCTGAGTCTGCTGGAGTTCCTGCAGGTGCCTCGTCTCGGCGGGAGCCTCTCTCTCCACCGCAGCTGCGCGAGTGGTTTGCTCGCCGCTGGAGACTCCAGCGAGGTGCTGCTGGAGCTGGAGCTGCTGGAGGTACTGCTGGTGCTGGAGCTGCTGGAGGTCCTGGAGCCGCTGGTCCCGGTGGTGCTCGTACTGGAGGTACTGGAGCTGCTGGAGCTGGAGGTGCTGCTGGAGCTGGAGCTACTGGAGGTACTGCTGGTGCTGGAGCTGCTGGAGGTCCTGGAGCCGCTGGTCCTGGGGGTGCTCGTACTGGAGGTACAGGAGCTGCTGCAGCTGGAGGTGCTCCTGGAGCTGGAGCTGCCGGAGGTCCGAGTGGTGCTGGAGCTGCTAGAGGTACTGGAGCCGCTGGTCCCGGAGGTGCTTGTACTGGAGGTACTGGAGCTGCTGGGGCTGGTGGTGCTGCAGGAGTTGGAGCTGGAGGCGCTGGAGCTGGAGCTGCTGGAGGTGCTGGAGCTGGTGGTGCTGCGGGAGTTGGATCTGGAGACCCTTGAGCTGGGGGTACTGGTGCTGTCTCTGTTATAGTCACAATAGGCTTGAATGTGCCTAAAACGAAAGATAGAGAGCACAGACGGATTTCTGCACAGCGGCTTCAAACGTTGATAGCGTTCTGCTCACAGCTGCAAATGACTTGATTCAAATTGGATCTGGAGCGTCTTCACGTCGTCTACAATTATCAATTTAGATTGCACGATTTGATAAAGAATTGACGACACAGCGTCGGTTTGAACGAACGGTACTATGGCAGCCACTATAGTCTTAGAACACAAGATAGGAAGAGTTACGAGTTGGGAATGACTCCCAGCTCCTACAAACCCCAAGAGCCGAGGTACAGTGATGTGGAACAGTGCCACACTGTCCCCAACCACGAAGGGTCTCGAAACTACCCTTCACTAGGGCCTACACCAAGTGAAATGTTACACTACACAAAGTAATGTAACTATCTTCAATATCTTGAGGTGTACCCTTTTGGCAAGCTTCGAAATCACTTGAGGCTTGACACCAAGGCTCGGGCTCTTCATCACAAACTCATCCTTGAGTTCTTGATGGGTCTGCTGCACACACCTGCGACACGCCGAACGTTCGACACAGGACAAAATAGAAACCGCGCACGACAAAATAGAAACCGCGCGCGAGACACAAACGACCGCGTAACACGCGTCTAGCGATAACTCGCTATTGACTCGACACACACACTCGACATCATGACTCAACATTCACACACAATTATAAGCATGAAATATATATTATCCCATGCCCTCATACCATTCCATACACACACACATTCACGCACACGGACAACAAGCCGAGTGCAAACCGTAGGGTTGCACCAACAAACTCCCCCTCCGATTGTTGGCCTTAGGATATGTTGCTCTCTCAGTTCAGAGCCATCCCAGCCAGCTTGCAACACTTCCAATGCTGCTGCTCCACCAGCCTCTTGGTCATCATGTCAGCCGGCTGCCCCGTGGTCTTCACGTAGCGCAACTCAACTTCACCCGCGGTTACCATGCTCCTCGTCCAATGCCACTTCACCCTCATGTGCTTCGTGAGTCCATGCAACACAGGGTTCTTAGCAAGAGCAATGGCACCCTGGCTGTCACAGTACAGTGGGGTAGGTCCTTGCTGCTCCTCCCCCAATTCAGCCAACAAACACCGCTGCCACACAATCTCCCGTACGGCACGGAAGAGTGCCATGTACTCGGACTCCACCGAGCTCAAAGCTTGGTCAACCTGCTTCTTGCTCTCCCAAGCAGTTGGGCCTCCACCAACACAGCATATGAAGCCTCCCACACTTGTCATGTCCTCTGGTTCTGATGCATATGAAGCATCCGAGTAGGCGGTGAGGAACAAACGCCCGGGTTCAACACCATCCGCGCCCTTTTGGCGCCTTTGTGCCGCCGCCGAGTATGCTCCTTTGTGCCGCCCCCGAGTATGCTCCTGTAGGGGGCGCCTTTGTGCCGCCCCCTACAGCTACTATGCTCTTCTCTGCTGCTAGGAGGGACTTCTCGAGGAGGTCAACGGTGAGAGTGGTGGGGCAAACAGAGAGGAAGTGGTCCCTGACTACGCGAAGGGAGTCAGGGAGCCGGGTGACTATGTAGTAGAGGGTGATGTACATGGGGGGGGGGTTCTTGGCGCAGAACTCTGCAGGAAGCGCAGCGCGGTAGCGAGTGTCACTAGTGCGGAGGTGCGTAATGAGGTCAGCGACTGTGGGAAAGGCAGCAATGTCAGGGAAGAGGTACGGTAGCATGAGGCGGCTAAGTGCAGCAGTGGCAGGGGAGGAGTAGCGCGCAACTACAGCGTCGTACAAGGTCTGAGCACTCTTGTACTGGCTAAAGTGCGCACGCTCAGAGGTAGGTAGGTGGCGACGCACAGCAAGACGTGCAGCAGCATCGCGCGTGGCCCACTGGGAGCGAACAGTGGCGTCAGCAGCAGCAGCGGGGGCAGGAGAGGCACCAGAAGTGAGGTCAAAGAGGGAGAGGCCGTCTGCCCTGTCGCACTGTAAGAAAAGCTGCAGGTCATCTATCCAGACGTCAAAGTCAATGGCCCGACCCTCAGCGTCAAAAGCGAGGACACTAGGGGTAGCCATGACAGCAGTAGACTAGCAGCGCAAACAGTAGGGTGAGGGCAGTGCTGTGAAAGGGGCGCTGCTCTTACCGGACAGGGCGGCTCGGGTGGCTCGGCTGTAGGGCGGCTCGGCGGCTCGGTTGCTGGGCGGCTCGGCGGCTCGGCTGCTGGGCGGCTCGGCGGCTCGGCTGCTGGGCGGCTCGGCGGCTCGGCTGCTGGGCGGCTCGGCTGCTGGGCGGCTCGGCTGCTGGGCGGCTCGGCTGCTGGGCGGCTCGGCTGCTGGGCGGCTCGGCGGCTGGGCGGCTTGGTTGCTGGGCGGCTCGGCGGGGCCGCTGAGAGGGCGGCGTCCGGGGCCGCTGGGAGGAGGCGGCGGGGCCGCTGAGAGGAGGCGGCGGGGCCGCAAAGGTAGGTGGCGGGACCGCAGGTAGGTGGCGGGGCCACTAGTAGGTGGCGGGGCCGCATGTAGGTGGCGGGGCCGCTGGTAGATGGCGGGGCCGCACAGGCAAGTGGCGGGGCCGCGGAGGTAGGTGGCGGGGCCACACAGGTAGGTGGCGGGGCCGCGGAGGTAGGTGGCGGGGCCGCACAGTGAGGTGGCGGGGCCGCGAAGGTAGGTGGCGGGGCCGCACAGGTAGGTGGCGGGGCCGCGGAGGTAGGTGGCGGGGCCGCACAGGTAGGTGGCGGGGCCGCGAAGGTAGGTGGCGGGGCCGCACAGGTAGGTGGCGGGGCCGCAGAGGTAGGTGGCGGGGCCGCACAAGGTAGGTGGCGGGGCCGCGTAAGGTGGCGATGGGCGCGACGGGCGCGACGGGCGCGACGGGCGCGACGGGCGCGACGGGCGCGACGGGCGCGACAGGCGCGACGGGCACGACGGGCCTAAAGGGCGGCGCGAAGGGCCGTAGGGGCGGCGCGACTCGGGCCGGAGCAAAACGCGCTCCGGGCAGGAAAAAAAAAATAATTTCGTGGTGGTGGGCCCTAGGAATCGTTCCCACTAGGGAACCTGCTCGATACCATGAGAAGAAACGAGGAATGAAATGACTAAGTGAAAGTTGGGTACAAAAAGCAAACCCTAGAAAACTGTACCCCATATGTGCCACCCCACTATAGCCTACAGTAGCTATGTCATATAAATCTGACACAGCCTACCTTTGCTCCGTACGAGCGCGGGTCCATCAGCTTCATGCCTCACCCGCAGCCCTCACCTGGACAAGAAAAGTCACTGGACGCATTACAAGTTCAGTCGCAGTTCGCACACGTTCTGAAGATGCAGACGTCAAGACCCTTCGATGGAAAGGACTTTTTTACCTGGTCGTTTGAATTCGAGCTGATGATGGAAGGCGCGCAGATACTTGGCTTCTTCGACGGGTCCCTGCCATACCCAACAAACGGCACACAGTACGAGAAGCAGCAGTACACCTATCAGTCAATGAGGAACATCACCCCGACTCAACAGCAGAACATACGATCTTACCGGGGTTACGGCAACTCCGCGGAGCTCGCATATAACCACTTGAAGAGCCTGTATCAAGCAACAGACAGCGTAAACCAAAGTCGGTTAATGGCGCAACTGACAACGGTCGAAATGAAACCAGGCGAGAAAGGATTGGCGTATATCAGCCGATGTCGCGAGTTGCGCGACAAGCTTCTTCGATGCGGAGGATCGATTTCTGAAGACGCCTTCGTGACAGTTATCATCGGCGGCCTCGGTCCTCAATGGCGCGCCACAAAGGCCATACTTCGAGCCCACGGAAGAATCTCCGAAGCAGCGCTCTGCGCCGAAATCCACGCCGAACAGCAAGACATGGACCTGCAAGAAGAACGACAAAAAAGGAAGACATCAGCACCGGAATTCGCGTTCCACACTCAACGACGCTACAACAACAACAACAACCGGCAGCAACAGCCGAAGCCCGTACCTCCGTTCTGCCACATCTGCAAAACTTCAGGACACCCACGTACGCACTGTCCGAATCGACAGCGGCAACTTCAACCCTCAAGTAATCAAGTCGCTTCAACACAAGCGAATCCTACGACCCAGATTAAAGCCTCAACGACTCCAACGGGACAACCTGCACAAGGAGCAAGGAACATCGTCAGTTGCATGGCAAGACTGAGCGACTCTTGCATCACGGGATCACCACCATACTACTCACCAGAAGAACAACTTGATGAAAGAACTCCACGCCGTGAGACACTGGAGCCGAATCCGACATACGCAGCTATCGCCCAGAGCGAACCATCCGGGAAGGACACGTGGTTCTTGGACAGTTGCTGCGGACAGCACATGTGTTCTTCAGGACGCTTCGTGCAACGAGAATACCAACTTCAACGCGAAGTAGTCATCACCGTCGCCAACAATCAGAACCTACGCACACGACGACAAGGAGTTGTTCAACTACAGTCACGAGAAACAAATGTCGTCCTACAGATGTCCAAGGTCCTAATTGCAGAAGGCCTCGGCTACAACTTACTAAGCGTCAGTCAGCTAATGGCGAAGGGGATTCACCTCGAAGCAGACAGCACCACCCAAGAATTCAAGTTGTATCACGGGAGAGGAGGACTTTACATCGGCAAGGCGATCCTCAAGAACAACGTCTTCGTTCTTGACTTCGTTCCTGATCTTGGCACCGCCGACAGCGACGCCATCGTTAACTTCACCAACTGGACACACCCTCCAGACCTTGATCCAGACTTCAGTCCTGGCGGTTTCTGGTACTCACACACCATCCCTGAGACAGAAAGGACAAGAGCGTTAGCGACAATTCAACATGTAGCAGAGACAACATCGGCAGCAGCAGAGACAACGTCGGCAGCAGCAGAGACAACGTCGGCAGCAGCAGAGACAACGTCGGCAGCAGCAGAGACAACGTCGGCAGCAGCAGAGACAACATCGGCAGCAGCAGGAACATCAACGGCAACAGCAGGAACTTCAACACCAGTCGCTGGTCTTTCAACGGCACCACTCCTCGACGACACACCACCGACACCCGCGCAACAGCTCAACCCGACACGACGAGAAGTCCACCGAAGCGCGAACGTCACCGCCGGCTTCTACTCCAACTCCAACATGTACCGACGCTCGCCCGGACACCGCGCCACCGAAGGAACCTGGCACGCAAGGATGGGACATCCAAGCCACACGGTGTTAAACAACACAATAAGAGCAGGGGTGCTCGACAAAGACTCACTTCTACTGATCGACGGCAGAGAACTTCAGCGAGCTCGAGGAACATGCTTCACCTGTCCCGAAGCAGATTTATCACATCAACCGTTTGTGTCTCACCACAATCCAAGCGCACCAGCCTACGCGCCACTCGAAAAGGTGTACAGCGACATACTGTACAACCGCGAACCCGGACAAAACGCGTACAACTACACGATCACCTTCATCGACGCTGCCACAAGATACGTCTGGCACCTCAATCTCCCAAGCCGCGACATGGCCTTCGAAGCCTTTGTCGCCTGGCTTCCTGCAGCAGAAAGAGAATCGGGCGTAAAACTAAAGAGTTTCCAGTCAGACGGGGGAGGAGAATACACCTCACAGAGGTTCAAGGACTACTTGGCAGAAAGGGGGATCAAGTGGCTCATTTCCCTTCCCTACGCTCATCAACAACAAGGCGTAGCAGAAAGGATGAACAGGACACTCCAAGCCACCATGCGCAAACTGCTACGTGGCATGCATCTGCCCAACCACCAATGGCCCGAAGCAATGGACCACGCCGTCATGCTGCACAACTTGCTTTCGTCATCATCGCTCCCGAACAACGCATCACCGCACCTGCTGTGGACAGGAAAATTGGGCAACACAAAAATGTTGAGAGTCTTTGGCTGCATGGTACAGTACTGACCCCCATCTGCACGCGCTGGTCGATTCTCCCAGCGAGCACAGTGGGGACTACACCTGGGCATCGAAAAACACCACAATGCATGGAAAATCTTCGACATCAACAGTAAGGAAACAGTCGCAGCACGTGATGTCATCTTCTACGAGAACCTCACCCTCGACGTTCACCTTGCGTACGTGGCAGCAAACAGACCCGATCCCTCGGGCGGATTCAATGGCACCCGTGCCTTCGCTTCGGCAGAAGACGAAGCTGACTGGGACGAGCAGAACGTGGAAGGAGCCTCGGAAGAAGCCGGACCCCTCCCGTACTGCTCCGTCGATGTCCCAATGGATGACGAAAATCCACGCGAAAGTAACAACGCCGAAGTCTTTTACCACTTCGCCGACAACGGTTACGTTACGCCTGCACAAGTCAACACCGACGAAGCAGAACGCGTAGGACCTAATTTCGCACCTGATCCAGAAGCGGGAGACGAAGCAGTTTATCCAGAGGATACTTCACTCCCTCGCTACACACAGAGTGGGCTCCAAATCCGTGGTCTCGTCACCGCACTTTACGGCGCAACCATTCCTAAAGAGCCTGCGACAGTTCAGCAGGCTCTGGGGGGGGGAGCATAAGGAAAAATGGCGCGAAGCCATGGACAAGGAACTGAAGGCACTGGAGGAACGCAACACGTGGAAAGTAGTTCCTATCGGCGTAGTACGGAACAAGACCATTCTCACCGAAAAATGGGTTTTTCGCGTGAAGACGAAGGCTGACGGCACAATTGACAAATTCAAGGCACGATGGGTCGTACGTGGCTTCGACCAAGAACACGGACGAGACTTCACCGAAACCTTCGCTCCGGTCAGCCGACACACTTCGCTCCGAATCCTTCTCGCAATCGCCGCCATGAAGAAAAAGAAGCTACGGCAAATCGATGTCGCAAACGCCTTCCTCTACGCACCCGTTGACGCAGAAATTTTCGTGGAACTACCGCACGGTACCAACGGGGAGCCGAACCAGGTCTGTCAACTGCTGAAGTCGCTCTACGGAATTAAGCAAGCTCCGCGGCTATGGCAGCAGTATCTGCACGCCCGCCTCATCCGCATCGGCTTCAAGCAATTACCTCACGATCAGGGGATGTACCGACTCACGAAAGGCGCAGACTACATCCTGCTAATCGTCTACGTAGACGATCTCCTTTACATCGGCTCAACTGACGGCATCACTACCTGGTTCGAAGGGGAGCTGCAGCAAGATCTCACGCTCACGGTCTCATCTACCGTCACTCAGTACCTCGGGCTCAACATCCGGGAAGAGGAAGACGCGATCTACCTTAGCGCCGAAAAATACGCCGACACCATCGCCAAACGCTTTGCACTCACACCGACAGCCATCTCCACGCCATACCGCTACACGGCAGGGAACGGCAAAGGAAACTCCGTTCTACTCAAGCCCGCCGGCATACGAGACTACCAGAAGAAGCTGGGATGCCTTCTCTTTGCAGCTGTCACCTGCCGCCCCGACCTCTCATACTCCGCAAGCCAGCTCGCCACCTACCTCAAGAAGCCTGAAGCAGAACACCTGGCAGAGCTCGACCGCGCTCTTCACTACTTCGTCAGCACCCCAACGATCGGCCTAACTTATCACAAGAACGCAACCACACCGACCAAGTTAATCGGCTACGTCGACGCCGATCACGCTGGCGACTCCGACAATAGGCGCTCCCGCACCGGCTACGTCTACCGCCTCGAACCTATCGGACCTATCTCTTGGCAGTCGAGCAAGCAGGAATTAATTGCTCTCTCGTCAGCTGAAGTAGAATATATTGCACTCTGCTCAGCCACCAAGAAAGGACTTTACCTTCGCGAGCTGCTGGAAGAAGCGAAGTTAGCTGAGTTACCCAACTTCACCCTGTTCTGCGACAACCAGTCGGCAATTCGCATCGCCAACAAGAACGGCTTCGCGAACAGGACGAAACACATTGCCCTACGCTACTTCTTCGTGAAGGACGAAATCGAGAAGGGGAGACTCGAGCTGTCATACTGCCCCACATCCGAGATGGCAGCCGACTACTTGACCAAGAAACTCGGAAAGCAGAAATTCGAGTACTGCATGCTGCTGACTGGACAGAGCCACGTCATCAGCAACGACACTCCAGAAGCGAAGAGGAGTGTTGGAAACAACAAATCATAAGCGCCTCTGTCGTGTCGAAACACCGCACCAGAAGCGAAGTAAATCATATCGAGGCACTCGCGAGTCAACCCTCGGAGGTTGAGAAGTTGCTGGCGGTTACGCGAAAGTCCAAGGTCAGCGACCTTTGACCTGACAAGTACAGCGCGACAGCAAGGACACACAACTGACTCGCTACAGAGCAGTTGCCCGAGTCGTCACTGTATCGAACCGCAACAGCAACAGTAAAGTAGTTATAACTGCATCTCTTCGTATTCCTTGTACTCATATATAATCCTGTATCTCCTTGTTTTAATCAATCTACTTTGCCCTCATATACTAGCGCAAGGTGGTTCACAACTCTTTAATTAACGCTTCCGCTATTACAACAACTCTACCCAGAGTTCATCCCTGCAAAGATCCTAAGGGCTTCTTTTTTCAGCCCAACATAGATGATGAGGGTACCAGTCTATACTGTAAATGATCCTGCTCGGATTAGCAAAAACCTTGGTTTGGTACGTACAAATGACAAACAAATAAGCCAAGCCAAGCCATACAGTGCAACACAAATTTATATTTCTGATGGTGCGGTGCTACCCATGATGCCCTCACTGCCTGCTCCACCCCCTCCCGCCCTCCTTGCTTCACCCCTGCCCGCCCTCTCCTTGCTCCACCCCTGCCCGCCCTCCTATGCCTTGCATGCCACCACCCAGAAGCGCTGCTTCTATCCCCATGCCCTGCCAGTCAGCCATGTCCCGTTCCCCACCCTCTCTCTCCCCTCCCCTTTTCCCCCCGCAGAGAGAGGGATGGCAGAGAGGGCAGGGGGCAGCAGCACCCATGCAGGAGTGGCCACCAATATACGGTAATGCCATCACTGCCTGCTCATCCCCTACCCGCCCTCTCCTTGCTCCACCCCTGCCCGCCCTCCTTGCTCCACCCCCTCCCGCCCTCCTTGCTCCACCCCCTCCCGCCCTCCTTGCTCCACCCCCTCCCGCCCTCTTGCTCCACCCCCTCCCGCCCTCCTTGCTCCACCCCCTCCCGCCCTCCTTGCTCCACCCCCTCCCGCCCTCCTTGCTCCACCCCCTCCCGCCCTCCTTGCTCCACCCCCTCCCGCCCTCCTTGCTTCACACGGCACCTCCCAGAAGTGCTGCTCCCTGTCCTGCTCCGCGCCCGCTCTCTCCCGTCCCCCACCCTCTCCAACTTCCCTTCTTTTCCTTTCGTCCCTCCTCCTCCCACTCCACTCTACTTGCCCTTGTTCCGCATCTGCTCTCGCACTGCACCGCACTGCACCGCAAGCACTGCAGGAAAGTAACACCACTGCTCTCACAAGCCGGGTCACCAGCAGGCTGAGGGAGCGCTGACCCGTGCCAACTTCCCTTCTCCCCTCCCCTCGCCCCAAATTCCCTTCTCCCCTCTCTCCCCTCCCCTTCCCCCCAACTTCCCTTGTCTACCTTTCCTCACTCTCCCCCCCTCCTCCACCCTACTTTCCCTGGTTCCTCATCTGCTCTCTTCTCCCCTTCCCCGGCCGCTGCGCCTTCCCTCCTCTCATCCCCCCTCTGCCCCCCCCTCTAGCCCCCCCTCTTCCCCCTCCCCTGAACCCTCTACCCGCGAATCCCCCTCGTCCCCCGCGCCCACCATCGTCGTCCCCAAAGCCCCCAAAGTCCCCAAAGTCGTTGGTCGAGTCCGCGTCGTTCTGCTTCTTCAGCCGCTTCCGCCCGCCAAACCCATACTTCGAATCCCGCTGCTTCCGCTTCTCCAGCGCCCCCTTCCCCCCGCCTCTCCCCCCCGTCCCGCGCGCGCCCGCCCCGCGCTTCTCCGCCCGCGGGAATTCCCCCCCAATTGCCGCATCCAGCTCCACGGGGAAGTCCGCTCCGCCGGGCGTAGTTGCGCCGTCCTGGAAGTTGCTCTGCTGGCGCAGCTTGCGCCAGCGCTCGACCGCCTGCACCGAGTCCTTCTTCTCCTTCTCGCGCTCCTTACGCCGCTCCGCCTGCACCAGCTTCGCGTACTTCTTCCCCTCGCGCGACTTCTTGCGCTCCTCCGCGCCCTCCATCTCCTTCTGCTGCGCCAGCAGCCGCGCGCGGATGCGCTCCATGTGCGCGTCGCTCTTCACCATCTCCGCGTAGTAGTCCGCCGGCCGCAGCAGCGCCACCGCAGACGGCGGAAACCTCCGCTTCTCTTCCCCCTCCTCCCCCCCGCCTGCGCCGGCGGCGCCCGCGGCGGCGGTGGCGGCGGCTGCTTCCTCCTGGAGCCGCACGAGCGCCGCCTTGGCGCCCGCGGCGGCCTGCGAGTAGAACGCGGCTTCGCGCACCAAGTCGTCCGCCGCGTCTACCGCCTCCACGCCGCCGGCGGCGCCAGTGGCGGCGTCCGCCTGCGCCTCGTCGTCCATGACGATGACGGCGAGCGACTCCATCCACGACCGCTTGCCCGCCCACGCGAACTCGTCGAGCTTCTTGCGCAGCGCGGGCGCGTCGTTTATCGCGTGCAGCTTCTGCTGCCCGCCGAACAGCGCCGCCGCCTCGCCCTCGTCGTCGTCGTCGCCATCGTCGTCATCGTCGTCATCGTCGTCGCCGCCCTCGTCGCCCTCGTCGCCATCTTCGCCTACGTGTTCGTCATCGTACTCCTCACTTCGGACTAATTCCTCCTCGTCCTCCCCAGCTAAACTATCGTCCACCGCCGGCGCTTCTGCTTCAACCATGCTAGCCGCTACCGAGGTTGTCGATGCTGACGAGCAGCGGGGTGGTAAGCACTGAGCTTACGAAGCAATGCCGTGGAGGAGCGGAGAGGTGGGGGTGGCGTTAGGGGAGAAGGAGAGGGTTTGGGTACGAGGGAGGGACGGTGACAGGGTTTTGAATTGAAGCTCAGAACTAGAGCGAATGAAGGGAAATCGTACACACGAATTTCTACACGTGCAATCCTTACTTTTCCCCGTACCCGTTATTAGCCTCCCTTGAGAAAAAAAATTACCCGTTCCTTCGAATGATAGTACAGTATCGCACTTTGGTTTCCGTCCGAGTGGATCTAGGTGGTCGTGTGCCAGCACCATCACCTTTGCCTCGCTTCCACTTCGATCTGTCAGGCGGCCCAATCCCCTCACTACGGTTCTCGAATTCCTGAATCTCGTCATTCTCAGATCACTAATCTGTCGCTCTGCTGCCTTCTCCGCACCTCGATCCCTCGGCGTCGATACCGTACTCGTGTGGATCCGCCTCGCTTCCGCCCGCCGGCTATCTGCCGCATCTGCGTGACCGAGATCGACCACGGAAAACGATCCCGACCGTCCACTCGCCCGCACTCGCACGGCTCCTTGATCGTCACGCCGCCTCTTAACTCCGTCACCGACCAGTCACGATGCAGGGCCCGGTGCTCGTTCTAAGTACGTCCTAAAGTTTAGTGCTGTCAGCATCATTGCAGGGAACGCTATGGATCCGTTTACCTGCTGTATCTGCCGCATAGATTCCGCTTTTAGAGCAAAGACTGGTGAATCTGACGCGGCTCGGCAGTGAGCAGAGCGGCGGCGAGTCGTAAGCCCGCTCCGAGCCACGCAGCGCTCTAGAGCCGCAGGATTCGAGCATTACAGTCGTCCTTCGCTTTGTCCTTTGAAATCCGCGTCGTGCTGTGTTGACGCGCGTACGATGCGAGGCCAGTGGGTCGATCTTGAGCCCCGGATGGCATGGCAGCCCGTGCCCGGCCGATCATCGCAGATTCGCAGGCATCCACAGCTTTTGTTGAAGTCACGTTTGAGACATGCGCGAGGAAGCTGTTTGAGAGGCACAGCTTCCTCTCGCTCGCCGCGGGACCAGCTAAGAGAAGAGAAGACGTTTTAGGGAACGGAAAGCCGTTTGGGAGCGGGGATTTTAGGATGCGATGGAATGGAAAGCAAAGCAGAGAAGTGCGGCCGTGCGCCTCACCATCCCTCCGTGCATTCCCCTCCCGCCTTTCTCGCCTTGTCCCGTCCCCGTCCAGATGCGAACACGAAGCGCGAGTCGGGTCGCAAGGCGCAGCTCGGGAACATCGCGGCGGCCAAGGTGAGACGCGAGACCCGAGACGCAAAAATTAGGAATCTTGCTATTGAGACGTTCGGTTTTGCGCAGTGAGTCGGTTCGCAACGTCGCTGCGAGACGCGAGGCGCAGGGGTTTGGTTTTGGGGTTGAATGGAAAACCGCGCGCTGGGAAGTAGCGGCTCTTTGCATAGCGAGCTTTGGGATATCGCAGCAGGGTGGGGGGAAGCGGGGTGGCGGGAAGCGGGGTGGCGGGAAGCGGGGTGGTGTGTAGCGCGGGTGCGGAGTAACGGCGCGGGTGTAGCAGTCGGGGTTTTGGGCGCTTGTGGCAAGGACGAGTTTGTGGACGACGCGAGCCAAGGGAAGCCCTGAGGTGCCGCGGGAGGTGGCGCGGAGATGCGGAGACGCGGAGATGCATTCGCTGCGTGAGCACGCAAGTGTGCTTCCAGGCGCGCCCACTCTTTTCTGCGCCGCCCCGCTTCGATGCTCACTCCCATCCATTCTAACACACCCCTCCGCCCTAACCCCTTCGCCCATGTCCTCCTCTGCCGTCTCCTCGCATCCCTTCCCCCTCCCACCTCTCCTTCTCGTCTCCCGAGCTTCCCTTTCTCCTCTGCCCCCCCTCCCCCCCTTGCATCTACCTCCGCACCCCCTCGCGCGCGCAGGCCGTGGCGGACATTATCCGCACCACGTTGGGCCCGCGCTCCATGCTCAAGATGCTGCTAGACGCCACAGGAGGTGAGGTGCACGCCACAGGAGGTAATTGTGTGACGGGCATACAGTGGGTCAATCTTTCGAAAGAAAGGCGTGGGACCCCGTTGAAGCTTGCCGCCGTGCTGCTTGCTGAGCACCCGTTCTTGACGACGTGATGGGGTGGTGAAATGGGCTCATGAGCTGCTGAGCGGCCCTCAGCTCAGGTCACCTGATGGGGTGGTGGGATGGGGTGGTGGGATGGGGTGGTGGGATGGGGTGGTGGGATGGGGTGGTGGGATGGGGTGGTGGGGTGGGGTGGTGGGATGGGGTGGTGGGATGGGGTGGTGGGATGGGGTGGTGGTGATGGGGTGGTGGGATGGGGTGGTGGGATGGGGTGGTGGTGATGGGGTGGTGGGATGGGGTGGTGGGATGGGGTGGTGGGATGGGATGGTGGGATGGGGTGGTGGGGTGGGGTGGTGGGATGGGGTGGTGGGATGGGGTGGTGGGATGGGGTGGTGGTGATGGGGTGGTGGGATGGGGTGGTGGGATGGGGTGGTGGTGATGGGGTGGTGGGATGGGGTGGTGGGATGGGGTGGTGGGATGGGATGGTGGGATGGGGTGGTGGGGTGGGGTGGTGGGATGGGGTGGTGGGATGGGGTGGTGGGATGGGGTGGTGGTGATGGGGTGGTGGGATGGGGTGGTGGGATGGGGTGGTGGTGATGGGGTGGTGGGATGGGGTGGTGGGATGGGGTGGTGGGATGGGGTGGTGGGATGGGGTGGTGGGATGGGGTGGTGGGATGGGGTGGTGGGATGGGGTGGTGGGATGGGGTGGTGGGATGGGGTGGTGGGATGGGGTGGTGGGATGGGGTGGTGGTGATGGGGTGGTGGGATGGGGTGGTGGGATGGGGTGGTGGTGATGAGAGCTGCCTGAAATTCCCATTCTTTTTATGCCATGCCATTCTGTAAATGATTCCCGCCATTCCAATGCCATGCCGTGCCATGCAGGCATCGTGCTGACCAACGATGGCAACGCCATTCTGAGAGAGATCGACGTCACGCACCCGGCTGCCAAGGTGAGAGCCTGTGTCGTGAGTGGGTGTAGGGGCAAGGCGTGTGATGGAAGAGAGAGGTAAAGGTGTGATAGGGAGGGATGTTTTACTGCTGTACTGCTGCAGGGAGTGCTCAGTAGCACAGTCAGGGTTGAGGGCTGAGGAGGGTCGAGGGTTTAGGTTTGGGGTTGAGAGGTGTGAGCGTTGGGGCCCTGGAATTCGCTATAACCACGTGACGGTTGGGACGTGGTCGCCAAGGCACCCACCGGACTCTCCTTAGCAGCATCCACAGCCGTCCACCTCCCTGCCTGCCCTGCCCCACCTTGCTCCCTGCTACTTGCCCTTTGCGCTTTGCATCACCTCCTCATGCCCCGCATCACCTCCTCATGCCCATGGGCTTGTGCCTTGTGTGCGCATGCATGCGCCTAATACTCTCCATGCCTCTGCTGCTGCTGCCTGCTGCTGTTGCTCCTGCTGCTGCCCTGCGTGCCATGGGTGTGTGGGGGTGGGGTCGCATGGCAGTCCATGATCGAGTTGAGTCGCACGCAGGACGAGGAGGTGGGCGACGGCACCACCTCCGTCATCATCCTTGGTGGGTTCCCCTCCCCTCCTCTTCCCTCCTCTTCGCTCCTCTTCCCTCCTCTTCCCTCCTCTTCGCTCCTCTTCCCTCCTCTTCGCTCCTCTTCCCTCCTCTTCCCTCCTCTTCCCTCCTCTTCCCTCCTCTTCCCTCCTCTTCCCTCCTCTTCCCTCCTCTTCCCTCTCCTCCCCTCTCCTCCCCTCTAACGAGATGCATCTCCTCCCAAGCACCGGCCTCTCGACTCCTTTCCCTCGCCAGATACATCCCCTCCTCTCGCTGCGCCTTTCCCTTGCTATTCACTCCACTCTGCAAGCCCGCTCAGCCGCCCCGGACATGCCCTTCCTCTCACCCCTCACCTATCCACTCTTCCATTCCCTCCGTTTGTTTGATGCCCGGCATGCCACGTGTCACCACTGCGTGCTGCCAGCTGGCGAGATGCTCCACGTGGCAGAGCCCTTCTTGGAGAAGGGCTTTCACCCCACCGTTATCTGCAGAGGTACGCCCTCAGTGGGGCAGGGCGCTCTCAGTGGGTGAGGGTGGTGGGTGCAGCTTTAGAATATCATGTGCCCCTGTCTTCGTTCTCACTCTTTCCTTTAACACCTCATCTCCCCGCCGTTGCCTTTCCCCTCTCCCCTCTCCTTCTCCCCCGATCAACCAATTGCCCATTCACCCCCCAATTACTCAACCCCTTAATGGTGCCATGCCATTGCTCATTCCCCCAACCCCCCCATGCACCCACCAGCGTACACCAAGGCGTTGGACGATGCCATAGCGGTGATCGACAAGGTGGCATTCAAGATCGACGTCAACAACAGTGAGACAAACCTGCCCTCTCCCTCTCTGCGCCCTGCACGCCTCTCTCATCGCTCGCCTTTCTGACTTGCCTCTCGCACTCAGCCTGCTCTTCCCTCTCACCCTTGTTTTGCGCCATAACTATCCCTCTTGCCCTCGCTTGCCTCCATGCCTTAATGCGTGCATTCCCCTGCACACTCTGCCGCCGACCCATCTCATCCTTTCATGCCCCGTCCCCTTGCACGCCGTCTGTGGTGCACTGTGCTTCCCTGTGCTTCACCATGCCTCTTCCTCGCACAGGGAAGCAGATGCTGAGCATACTGCAGAGCTGCATCACACCAAGTTCACCACCCATCCCATTCATTCATCCCCGTCCCCTTGTGCTCCTTCCGCGCGTCCCTGTGCGTCCCTGTGCTTCCCTGTGCTTCCCTGTGCTTCCCTGTGCTTCACCATGCCTCACCAGGGAAGCAGATGCTGAGCATACTGCAGAGCTGCATCGGCACCAAGTTCACCACCCGCTTCGGCCCCCTCATGGCTGTACGTCCTCTTAGAATGCAGCATATGGTGGTCCCCTCATGGCTGTACGTCCTCTTAGAATGCAGCATATGATGTTCCCCTCATGGCTGTACGTCCTCTTAGAATGCAGCATATGATGTTCCCCTCATGGCTGTACGTCCTCTTAGAATGCAGCATATGGTGGTCCCCTCATGGCTGTACGTCCTCTTAGAATGCAGCATATGATGTTCCCCTCATGGCTGTACGTCCTCTTAGAATGCAGCATATGATGTTCCCCTCATGGCTGTACGTCCTCTTAGAATGCAGCATATGATGTTCCCCTCATGGCTGTACGTCCTCTTAGAATGCAGCATATGATGTTCCCCTCATGGCTGTACGTCCTCTTAGAATGCAGCATATGATGTTCCCCTCATGGCTGTACGTCCTCTTAGAATGCAGCATATGGTGTGACAGTCGTCCTGCTTTCACGCCTGACCCCTCGTTCCCTCCTCGCCCTTTCCTCGTGTGCTCGCCGTGTGTGCTTTTGTTCTCCTACACGCCTTCGGAATTCTGTGCCTTTCAATTCCTCTCCGCACTTGGCCGATAGCAGTAGCTGCTCAATCCCTGCCCTTTCCCACAATCCCCTCCTCCACTTTCCCTTCCCCACCCACGTCCTGCCCACTTTCTTTCCCCCACCCACCATCGCACTCTCTCCCCCTCTTCTGTGACAACAGTGCTGGAGGAGGGCAGCTGCTACCTGTCTGCTCAACCCTTCCTCCCCCAACTTGCCTTGCCCTTCCCTCTCTTTCCTCCTCTCCGCCCTCCACTTCCCCCCTTCTCTCCTCTCCCCCAGGAACTAGCTCTAGACGCGGTGACAACGGTAGAAGTGGAGATGGGGGGGAGCAGCTCACCACATAACTGCTCTCGATCCCTGCCCTCCTCACCATCACCCTTTCCCCTCACCCACAGGAGCTAGCACTTGACGCGGTGCAAACGGTGGCAGTGGAGGTGGGCGGGCGCAAGGAGATTGACATCAAGCAGTACGCCAAGGTGGAGAAGGTGCCGGGCGGTCGGATAGAGGACAGTGCGGTGCTGCGCGGTGTGATGTTCAACAAGGACGTGGTGACTCCCGGCAAGATGCGGCGCCGCATTGAGAACCCGCGGGTCGTGCTGCTGGACTCGCCCCTGGAGTACAAGAAAGGGGAGAACCAGACGAACGTGGAACTGCTGAAAGAAGAGGACTGGTGAGTGGGCAGGATGGGGATGGAGTGAGAAAGGGATTGAGGTTGTGAAGGCATTGAGAACCCGCGGGTGGTGCTGCTGGACTCGCCCCTGGAGTACAAGAAGGGCGAGAACCAGACCAACGTGGAGCTGCTGAAAGAAGAGGACTGGTGAGTGAGTGGTCAGGAAGGGGTGGAGGGAGAGGGGGGGAGGGGGGAGCAAGGGAGGGGGGAGGGGAGGGGGGCCAGCACCTGTGTCTCCTTCTTCCAGGGAGCAGCTGTTGAAAGATGGAGGAGTACATAGCAGCTCTGTGTCGCCACCTCCTCTCCCACACGCGCTCACTGCCCCTCGTGTGCTCTGTTCTTGCCCTCTCTACCACCGCTTTTCCACATGGCAGGGAGCAGCTGTTGAAGATGGAGGAGGAGTACATAGCGGGTTTGTGTCGCCACATAGCGGCATTCAAGCCGGACCTCGTCATCACAGAGAAGGGCCTCAGCGACCTCCACCTCCTCTCCCACACGCCCTCACTGCCCCTCATGTCCCTTGTCCGTGCCCTCTCTGCCCGCTCTGCCCTCTCTGCCCTCTCCCCACATGTGCATACATGCGCCAATGTGTCTCTGAATCTGCCAGGGAGCAGCTGTTGAAGATGGAGGAGGAGTACATAGCGGGTCTGTGTCGCCACATAGCAGCATTCAAGCCCGACCTCGTCATCACGGAGAAGGGCCTCAGCGACCTCGCTGCGCACTACCTCTCCAAGTCAGTGCTCTTTCTGCTCTGCTCGCACTCTTTCTCTTGCCGTTCCTTTCTCCACTGCTGTCGTTGCTGGCAGTGGCATTCCATGATCCATCCCACGTCCCCCTCTCCACTTTCCCTCGTACAAAAATCTAGCCAGTCGTCCCGCCCGGGTCTCGTGTTTCTGCCTTCTTGGTTCACCTTTACCAGAGCCGGCATTTTAAGCATCGGCAACCTCATGGCATGCCCGGCTGGCACTGTGGAAACCCGTTCTCCCTTCCTCTACCCCCCTCTTCCTCCCCCCAGCTCCAGAGCCAGCATCGACTCTCCTCCCCCCCCATCTTCCCCTCCCGTCTTCCATATCCCACCATTCAGGATCAGCATCCGCCCCGCTTCCCCTTTCCCGTTCTCCCTTTCCCCTCCCTCTTTCCCCCACCCAGAGCCGGCATCGCAGCCATCAGGAGGCTCCGTAAAACTGATAACAACCGCATAGCTCGTGCGGTAGGAGCTACCATTGTGAACCGAGTGGAGGAGCTGCAGGAGAGCGACGTGGGGATGGGCGCGGGGCTGTTCGGATTGAACTGACACTCGTGCTCCTCTGCCCCCCACCTGCTCCCCCCCTGCTCCAACTTTCACCTTTTGATTTCGAAAACTACTCACTTTTCCTCCCCCCTCCCCCCCCACCCAGAGCCGGCATCGCAGCCATTCGTCGCCTCCGTAAAACCGACAACAACCGCATCGCTCGTGCGGTGGGCGCTACGATTGTGAACCGAGTGGAGGAGCTGCAGGAGAGCGACGTGGGGACGGGCGCGGGGCTGTTTGAGGTGCGCAAGATCGGCGACGAGTTCTTCGCCTTCCTCGTGGAGTGCAAAGAGCCCAAGGCGTGCACCGTGCTGCTGCGGGGGGCCAGCAAGGACATTCTGAACGAGATGGAGCGGAACCTGCAGGTGAGGGAGGGATGGGAATGGGTGGAGAGGGGTCAATCAGGTGAGGTGAGCAGTGAGAATGGGTGGAGCGAGGTGAAGGGAATGCAGCTGTGGGGAAGGTGCAAGCAGCCCAAGGCGTGCACGGTGCTGCTGAGGGGGCCGAGCAAGGACAACATTAGTGAGAGGCGTATGGATTACACTGCACCACACCATGTTCACTCCTCCCCCCCCCCCCTCTCCCCCCACCCCCAGGACGCCATGGGAGTGCCGCGCAATGTGGGGGTGGACCCTCGCCTTGTGCTGGGGGGGAAGTGGGGAAGGGACACCTGTTTCTGTGCATACACACACCACACCACCCCACCATCCTCACCCTCCTCTGCCCCTCCCACCCAACCCCAGGACGCCATGGGAGTGGCGCGCAATGTGGTGGTGGACCCTCGCCTCGTGCCGGGTGGCGGTGCCGTGGAGATGACCGTGTCGGCTGCTCTCAAGGACAAGGCTGGCACCGTGGCAGGCATTGAGCAGGTGGGTGGGCAGTGAAAGGGCATGGAGCAGGTGGGTGGACAGTGTCACAGTGCTAGCCAGGCTATGGTGGAATATACACGCATGTTAGATGGAGCAGGTGGGTGGGCATGGAGCAGCACATTGAAATATGTCGACATTCAAGAGGAGCGAAGCTGGTTCTTTCATGGTCCGAGCATTCCAATCGCATGAAGAATGAAGCTGGTTATCCATTGCCAACTGCCGTTCCTTCATCCCCATTTCGCTCCCCCGTCATCCCCATTCTCTGCCCCTCTCTGGTCCCCTTTTTGCCCCCTTCCACCCCCCATCTCCACGCCTCTCCCCACAGTGGCCGTACCGAGCGGTGGCGTCAGCGTTTGAGGTCATCCCGCGCACGCTAGCACAGAACTGCATTGAGATGTCTCAAAACTCTTCCCCCCTCTCCTTCCCCCCCACGCCCCCCCTCCCTGCAGTGGCCGTACCGTGCAGTGGCGTCGGCGTTTGAGGTCATCCCGCGCACGCTAGCACAGAACTGCGGAGTCAGCGTGATCCGCACCGTCACTGCTCTGCAGGCCAAGGTGGGCGGCAGGTCGAGGTGGGCGGCAGGTCGAGGTGGGCGGCAGGTCGAGGTGGGCGGCAGGTCGAGGTGGGCGGCACACTCTTCCCGGCCCCACTGCCTGCCAGCCACTGCCAGCCATCTGGCCTCGTGGTGCGGTCTGGCCTCCTTCACGCTCCACCGTTCATTCCTCCAGTCCTCTCCCTGCTCTCGTCCCTTTCTTCCCTGTCCTCTCTCGCCTCGTTCCTCTCTCATCCCTCTCTCCTTCTTTCTGTCCCTCATCGACCAATCCCTGTCCTCCCTCTCATCACATTTCCCTCGCGTCACTCCTCCACCTTCTCTGTCCATCACCTCTTCCTCCCTCCCTCCCACCCCCCACGTCACGCCATATCAGCCAAAACGTTATTGAAAAGTCTCTCTCACCTCTCTCTCACCTCTTTCTCACCTCTCTCTCACCTCTCTCTCACTCGTCCACACACATCTATAGGGACATCCGCATTTGCAGACAAACACACATGCCCAGGGACACGCACATTCACAGGAATGCACCGGCATCATTCTCCCCTCCACCCGTCCCCACCCATTTCCCCACCGCCCCTCCTCCCCCGCACCCCAACAGCACGCACAAGGCGCCAACACGTCCATAGGCATTGACGGCGACACGGGCGCCCTCACTGACATGAAGGAGCTCGGGGTGAGTTTTGAGCACTGCTGGGGGTGAGTGGTGGGGTTGAGTGGTGGGGAGTGGTGGGGGTGAGTGGTGGGGAGTGGTGAGGTTGAGTGGTGGGGAGTGGTGAGGGTGAGTGGTGGGGGTGAGTGTTGGGGGGAAGTGCTAGCACACATGCCTCGTGATGTGCTGCATAGCCTCCTCGCCTCCTCAAGCCCCTTCCTCACCTCCCCACGCACCTCTCCTCCGCGTGTATGCTTCCGGTTGGGCAGCCGTGTGCAGTGGAAGGTTGGGCAGTTGTCCGTGCTCTTCCTCCTCGCATCCCTTATTGTTTCCCTGCCTCCCGCCTCTCCCTGCGTTTGCCAGGTGTGGCAGCAGACAGGGAAATTGCTGATGTGGTGTGTGTGCTATTTGCCCTTTCACTCCTTCCACTCACTCACAACCAGCCTCTCCAACCTCCTGCCTCCCGCCTCTCTGTTCGTTCTCTGCCTGCCAGGTGTGGGAGCCGTACGCAGTGAAGGTGCAGACGGTCAAGACGGCCATCGAGGCGGCGTGCATGCTGCATACCCTTGCATGCATTCCCCTCATCCCCCCTCCCGCCCCTCCCCCCCCTACCCCGGGCTGCCAAGTGTGGGAGCTGTACGCAGTGAAGGTGCAGACAGTGAAGACGGCCATTGAGCCGCTGGGTGCCTCACCTGCGCACCCTTTCATGCACTCCCCTCATCAAACTTTCCCCCCTGCCCCGCTGCCTGCCAGGTGTGGGAGCTGTATGCAGTGAAGGTGCAGACGGTCAAAACAGCGATCGAGGCGGCGTGCATGCTGCATACCCTTGCATGCCTTTCTCTCATCCCCTCCCTGCATCCCTGCCTCCTTTGGCCCTGCCAGGTGTGGGAGCCGTATGCAGTGAAGGTGCAGACAGTGAAGACGGCGATCGAGGCGGCGTGCATGCTGCTGCGCATCGATGACATCGTCAGCGGGCTCAAGAAGAAGCAGGCGAGCGGCGCACCGGGAGGGGGCAAGCCGCAGATGGACACGGGCGATGACGTTGACTCCGAGCAGATGCTGGCCGAGTGAGGGGCGAGGCGGTGTGTTGCGGTGCTGTGCGGTGGTGATCTCTTGAGTGCGTTGCTGTGAGTGTTTAGTAGAAGTTGTCTAGCATGTATTGTACCATATTTTCCGGTGCATAACACCCTTCCAATTGAATGCTTTCGAGTGGTAGATGCGGACCTGGGTGGGTGCACCTAAACCACCTGGTGCTCCACAAGTGAGTGCATGTCAAATGTTAATGTTATGATAGGCTGCAGTGAGGCACTCCCTAGAGGGTACAACATTTGTAGGACTCCTATTTGTATGCTTGCAAACCCTAATCCCAAGTATTCCGTTGCATTCCTATTCTGAGATGGTATCACGAGTAGGTTAGATCCTCGTTCGTTTTTTTTTAGCTAGCCTCCGCGCCCTACGCGCCCTCCGTGCTCTCGCGCCCTCCGCGCCCTCCGCGCCCTCCTCGCGCCTAGCCCGCGCCCTCCCGCGCTGTCCAGCCTGTCGCGCGCCCTCCTTAGACCTCCGCGCGCCCTCCCCCACCGTTGCGCGCCCTCCAAAACCGTCGTGCGCCCTCCTTAGACCGCCGTGCGCCCTCCTCAACCGTCGCGCGCCCTCCTCAACCGTCGCGCGCCCTCCTTAGACCGTCGCGTGCCCTCCCCTCCGCCTGTCGCGCGCCCTCCTCCGTCAACGCTTCCCGCACACCAGCGTGAGCTTACCGCACACCTGCGTGCACTTACCGCACACCTGCGTGCGCTTACCGCACACCTGCGTGCACTTACCGCATCACTCTGTGTGCGCTTCCCGCACACCTGCATGCACTTACCACACACCTGCGTGCACTCACCGCACACCTGCGTGCGCTTACCGCACACCTGCGTACACTTACCACACACCTGCGTGCGCTTACCGCACACCTGCGTACACTTACCGCATCACTCTGTGCGCTTACTGCATCTCTCTCCCCTTCACCTGTGCACCGGTCCCACGCCATTCATACTGCACTTGGCTCCCGGCTCAGCGGCTGGCAGCCGCTCTTCCCTCCGGTAGCGCCACCTAGGTTCGGTTAGAGCCCCGCCCCACGACTATTTTCTCGCCGACTGTCTCTCGTCGGTTTCCCCGCTGGCGTCCCTAGCCTTCCGTAGTTTTCCTCCTCGTTCTTAGCTCCGCCTCCGCCGTGCTCCAGTCGCCTCTAGCATGGGCTCCGCTATGGAGGCCCGTCGCCTCCGTTTCGATGCTGAGGGACGCCCGATCGAGTTCGGTACCTGGCAGCGCCAGACCACACGTTTCCTCACCAGCCAGCGTCAGGACGGCGCCACTCTGTGGGCCCACGCGTCGGGTGCTCTCGCGGCACCCCCGTCCCCCGCCGCCCTGCCGACCGCCCCGGAGCCGACTCCTACGGCCCAGGCGGACTACGACCGTCGGGTCCTGGCTCGGGACGTGTGGCTCTCTCGTGACGCGGCCGCCGCCCTCACGCTATCGGAGCTTCTCCCCCCGACTGAGGCCGCTCACTTTGACCAGGTGGAGACAGCCAAGGGGGTTTGGGATGCTATTGTGGCTCGCTATTCCACCCCCTCCTCCGCCTCCCTCAGTCGCCTCCTCATGCCGTTCGTGTTTCCCGACCTAGGCTCGTTTGCGACTGTTTCCGACCTAGTGACTCACCTCCGCTCGCTTGACGCCGGTTTTCGTTCGGCCTGTACCGACGCACAGCTCCTTGTTGCTCCCCCCCCCATGTGGCTCACTGTGCACTGGTTAGTCACCCGCCTCCCTGACCGCCTTGCCACTGCCCGCGACGCGCTTCTTCAGAAGCACCCCACTGAACTCACTATAGACCTCCTTCAGACTGCTCTCGGGACCATCGAGAGCAGCCTCCTCACCGTTGCCTCCGCCACTGATGCGGTGGCCCCCCGTCTCTTTGCGGGGTGTGCCGCCCCTCAGCTTCCCACTTTCACCACTACCCGCGCTTCTGCTGCTGTGTCGGTCTCTGCGGACACCGCTGCCGTTTCTGCCGCAGACTGGCAGAAACGGGGCAAGAGTGGCAAGAAGGGCGGGAAGGGGGGAGGTGGGGGCGGAGGAGGTGGCGGTGGAGGGGGCGGTGGAGGTGGGAGCGGCGGTGGTGGTGGAGGCGGCGGCGGCGGCGGCGGCGGTGGTGCACCAGGGGGAGGGGGCCTTGGAGGAGGCGCAGGACAGACAGGTCCACTCACAGGTGGTGGCCCGACCGGTGGGGGTGCTGCCCCCCAGCAGCAGCAGCCACAGCAGCACCAGCCACAGCAGGGACAGCAGCAGCAGCAGGGACAGCAGCAGCAGCAGGCACCGCAGCAGTTCCAGTAGTGGGGGCCCCTGCTGCAGTGGGGTCCGCAGCAGCACTGGGGTCCCCCGCCGCAGTGGGGTCCGGGAGGCCCTGGGAGCACCAGCCGCAGCAGCAGCTCTTCCAGCTGGGCCCCTCGCCCCCCTCGCCGTGACGCTGGCCCCTGCACCCACTGGTGCCTCACCGGGCCGGGCAGCCCCTGTCTCTGTGGTCGCGACGACCACTCTGCCGCGCGGTGCTTCCGCCGCCTCGACGACCTCTACCGGGATCGTTGGGGCCCCCTGGCGGTCACGCCTCGCTGGTCTCGTCTGTTAACCCGTAAGATTGATGTCTTTGATTTGTCCATGGACGATGCGCGTCAGCATGCTTTGTATGTTGATGCTGACTTTAGTGCTGAGGGATCTGTGTGCTCGCGTGTTCGTAGTTTAGCCTGCTTGCCTCCTGCTAGTGTAGCCTTGTGCCTGTCTAGCTTAGGTGCTTGTGTTGCTGCTCTAGGTGCTTGTGTAGCGACTGGGTCAGGTGACCCTCCGGCTGAGGCCTCTCTGTCGTTCACGCTGGACTCGGGCGCGTCTCAGTGCTTCTTCCGCGACCACACGACCCTTATGCCACTCCTCACTCCTGTGTCAGTGGCTCTGGCTGATCCTACCTCTGGACCAGCCGTTGCGCGTAGCTCCACCACCCTCCCGTGCCCTGTGGTCCCCTCTGGTGTCCTGCGCGGCCTCCACATCCCCTCGTTCACTCGGAACTTGGTGGGTGTTGGATACCTCCAGGACAGGGGGATCACGGTTACCTTCGTAAGGGGTGGGCGGACTGCAGTCTGTACTGACGCTACCACAGGTGCTGTTCTGGCTACGTTCACCAGGGAGCCCCGCTCTAGTCTCTACGTTCTCCACACCGAGCGCTCCCCGGTCGCGTCCTCCGCTCAGGTCGTTGCGTCCCCTCCGGCCCAGGTCCCCAGTCCAGTTGCTGTGTCTAGCCAGGTAGTCGTGTCCAGTCCGGTCGCTGTGTCCAGTCCAGTCGCTGCGTCTTGCTCCTGTCGCTCTCTCGCCCACCGCACCGTCCTGTGGCACCACCGTCTTGGCCACCCGTCGATCCCTCGCCTTCCTGGCATGCTCAGTCAGGGACTAGTCACAGGTCTCCCACGCACCTTCCCGTCGCTCCCTCTCTCGCTTGCCCCTCCTTGCTCTCCGTGCGTCGCCGGTCGCTTACGCGCCACTCCCCACTCCTCCTCCCTTCGTCCGGCCACCACTCCCTTCGAGACTCTCCACTTGGACGTCTGGGGCCCTGCCCCGACGCAGGGGTCTGGGAGGGAGCGTTACTTTCTGGTGGTCGTGGACGACTTCTCCAGGTACACCACAGTGTTCCCTCTTGCGAAGAAGTCCGAGGTGACTGCTACGCTGATCAGGTGGCTTCTAGCCACTGAGGGCACTCGTGGTCGTCGAGTTAGTTGTCTCCACTCCGACCGTGGGGGCGAGTTTCGCTCCGGCATTCTCGGCGGATTCTGCGGCGAACAGGGCATCACCCAGTCCTGGACGCTGCCAGAGTCCCCACAGCAGAATGGGGTTGCTGAGCGCCGCATAGGCTTGGTCATGGACATCGCCCGCACGTCCATGATCCATGCCCGTGCGCCCCATTTTCTGTGGCCCCATGCGGTTCGCTACGCCGCACACCAGCTGAACCTCCAGCCGCGTGTCTCGCGGCCCGAGGTTTCACCGACTAGTCTTTGGACTGGTTCCCCTGGTGTTGGGTCGGCCTTTCGAGTCTGGGGCTGCCTTGCGCAAGTCCGCGACACCTCTGCGGACAAGCTCTCGGCACGCGCCGTCGACTATGTCTTCCTTGGTTTCCCGGTCGACTCTGCTGACTGGTCCTTTTACCACCCGCCCCTCCACCAGTTCCTCGACTCCCGTGACGTCAGGTTCGACGATTCCGTGTCCTACTACACCCGGTACCCCTGTCGAGGTCTCCCGGTACCCCCTCCCCCTCTTTTCCTCGCACCCTCTCCTCCTCCTGCTCCCGCTCCTCCGGTACCCCCCGCCCCCCCCTGGTCCTGCCCCGTCTGGTGTGTCCCACGCTACCCCTCTACCCTCGGTCGCGCGTCAGGTAGCGTCTCCCTCCCCGCAGTCCTCCTCACAGTCCCCTTAGCAGCCTTCGGCACTTCCGCGACAGGCTACTGTGGACTCGGTTGGTGTTGGAGCTGGAGGTGCAGCCGCTGGCGGTGCTCGGTCTGGGGGTGCTCGGTCGCGGGGTGCTGGGGGTGCTGGAGCTGGAGGTGCTGGCGCAGGTGGTGCTAGTTCTGGGGGTGCTGGAGTTGGAGGTGCTGGCGCAGGTGGTGCTAGCTCTGGGGGTGCTGGAGCTGGAGGTGCTGGCGCAGGTGGTGCTAGTTCTGGGGGTGCTGGAGTTGGAGGTGCTAGCACTGGAGGTGCTAGTTCTGGGGGTGCTGGAGTTGGGGGTCCTGACACTGGAGGTGTTGGTTCTGGGGGTGCTGAGTCTGAGGAGACTGGAGCTGGAGACCCTGGTTCTGCGGAGTCCACTCCGCCTCCCCACCGCCACGACACGCGTCTCCAGGCTGCCCGTCGGCGTGAGCATGAGGAGCAGGAGCGGTTGGAGCGGGAGCGGCAGGAGCTGCGGGTGCTGGACCTTCTGGAGCAGCAGCGGCAGCAGCAGCAGCAGTAGCAGCCGCAGCCGCCGCCAGCAGCCGCAGCAGCAGCAGCCGCAGCCGCCGCCGCAG